TTTTTTTTTTTTTTTTTTTTTTTGTATTTTAATTTAGGTCAAGCAATAGAAATCCAACTTCAATTCATCTCATTCAACATCAACACCATTTTCACCAATCATCACCAATTCAGTCAACAAAGTACATCACATATACGGCTGACAAGAAAAGGTTTAAAGCTCAACGGGCTACTAGTGGAATAAATTTTAGGACCAAAGAACAAGGCAGAAAGAGAGCTAATCAACAAAATGCCTCAATCATATTCGCAATTTCAAACTCAATCGATTCCTTTCAAACAAACTCAAGGCAAGTTCTAATCATTCCAGAATATGACCAATATCTCACAAGAAAAGAATAAAGCTCAAAACCTCACAAGGCAAATAGATGTCATTCAAAGTAATCAAGCAAATACCGAGGCAATGACCACACGTCCGTTATCACAACTTCCCAATTTCATCAAACATTCATCAACAATTCATATAATCCACCAATACCATGCTCAACAACACAAAAACCTAAAGCTAGACCGGTCCACCACATAAACATGCAAAATCCAATTAAACTCTCCCACACTTAGAATGAGGCAATGACCTCATTGCTTCAACACAAACCCGGAAGTCACATAATAGGACCCAACATATTCATATAATGAACCAAACTAGCAGCTATCACAAGACACAAACTCAAAAGAAAAGACAAAAGAAGGAAACAACTCAAAAAGAGAAAATAAGAAAAGGGTGTGCAAACCGAAGTGCCTCGAGGAGAAATAGCATGCATATGCAAGTAGCTCGTCTATGATCAGCCTCGCAAACTCATTCCTGCCACTGGGAAAATCACGAAACTCCAAACTCCCATTATTCCAAGATAAAATTAAAGAGCGAAAAGAAAAATATATAATAAAGCAGTAAATCACTTGAGTTGCCTCCCAAGAAGCGCTTGTTTAACGTCATTAGCTTGACGAAACCTATGGGAAACTCAGCCAGGATCTAGGAAGAAGTGACGATCGTGCCACGCCTTTGTATTCTTGAGAAATGGCAGTGCTGGCACTAAGGCCAGAAGGCGGGCATGGTGGGTTCGGATGGCTATGTTCTGAAGAAAACGGGTTCGGGCCCGAGCAATGCCCAATTCTAGACGTAGAGCTTTTCCCACACGAGCTCTATCGTCAACCTCCGAAAATATAAGCTCATCCGTGGAGCAAATCGAACTGAATGCTCCCCACTTTGTATCACAGTGTAAAGGCCCCGAAGACGGATACTCCAAGTCGAAAGTGGGAGGAGGGACTTGAGAATCAAGCCCGTGGATCTCCTCCTCTGAAATGTCATCAAGCTCATCATCATCTTCTTCGGCCTCACACATTTGCTTCATCGTGCGGGCTTGAGTATCAAGCATGAGGTGGGGGTAGTCGACTTTTGCCTCGATTGAGCTGGTATGTGCTGCAAGAATCTCCATTTGTGTGCTCAGTTGAGCACACCCGAGCTCAATCTCCACATCTCGAGTGGACTGGGCAGATATGCGAGCAAGGATAAAGTCCAGCTTCTCATCGAATGACAAAGCAGTCTCCCGAGGCTCGTCTCTATGTGTAGGTTCGCCTTGAGCGGTGGGCTCGGGAGTGA